GCGTCTTTTAATTTCATGGCTGCTGTCACAGTCTGCGATGATCTGGGATCGATGGTGCACAAATATAAATGGCCAGATTAGCAATGAACTCAAGAGCTGAGAATAATGATGATCATAATATTTATTATTCATAATAAATACACTGTAACCTTTTGAAATGCTAGACGGGTAGAAGCTTTATAAAGTACTTCAGTGACTTAAAAATAAAAGCAACTCTAGAATATGTTTGTTTTAATACAAACCAAAATGTTTTAAGCTATTCTAAAGTTTTGCAATTAAATCCTAGAGGTGGAAGGCCTTGTCTGGTTCATCAAGGTTCTCCTCGTACTAGAAGCTGACATACTTTCCAGAGCTACTCCATGATGGTGTGGTGTAGTGGTTAGAGAGACTAGGAATGGAAAGACCCAAGTTCAGATCCCTGCTGAGCTGTGAAACTCACTGGGTGACCTCAGTGTAGCCATTTTCGACCTAAACCATCTCACCAGGGTTGTTTCAACAATAAAATAGAGGAGAAGGAGGAGGCCTTGCATAGAGAGGAGAAGACTTGGAAGAAACAAAGCAAATTCATTGCGAGGAATAGGTCCTTCCCATTTCTAGACTTTTTATTTATTTGTTTGTTCCTCTGTCTTAGATGGCAAAATTAAGGTGCATGTGCTAAGATAGCACAGGGTAAAGCAGTTCTTCCCAAAACTTCTGTGTTTTTTCCCCTAGGGGGAAAAAAATCAGGGAACTTCTCCACCGTGGTTTCAGAGTTTTCAGAATTTTTTACATCAGTGATTTTATGTGCTAGGTTAGTGCGACCCAAAAAGGGGGTTATGTGCTAGGTTGTCAAAGAACTGTGCACCCTCATTCTAGCAATGGACCTTCCTGGGGGCATTGGACAGACACGAGAAATCTTCCTTTGTGTTCTGGATTTGGAAGCTGATTCTGCTTAAACCGCTTGTTTGCCTAGCGTAATCTTAAAAGCCTAGATGTCAAAGTCTGCTTTCGAATTTTTATTTCAGAAAAAGTTAACAGCTGAGGTTGCATTAGCTCAAAAACATGTCAAGGCTATTGGATATGCATGGTTGAATTCTGCTTCCATGAGACAAACGTAGGAAGCTGCTTTATATCAGCTCAGGCCATTGGCTGGCTAATTGTTTTCTTTCCTGACCAGTCGCAGCTTTCTAGGATTCCAGGCAAAGTCTGACTTGAAAGCCTTTTAAAAATAATTGCAGATGCCAAACATTGACCCCGGGCCCTTCTGGACAGCTCTACCATAGAGCCATTGCCCTTTGTCCTCATATTTAGACTTCAACCGTTTGTCATTTTTTGAAGGGTTTTCCTGTTGTTGGTGTTTTGATTTTCTTCCTAGTTGAGGGCGACAAAACATCCAAGCTCAGATAGCAGACCAACAACAACAAATCTTCAGAAGTGCGTTCAGAAGAAGCTGTGTGCATCTGCTGTGCAGTACAATCATTGGTCTCTGCCACACAGAAGGGAATGTTGTTTGGTTTGGCTTGTTTCAACAGAATATAAAAGAAAGTAAACCTTTAGAGGAAGAAGAGGCATCTAGTCCAGGAAGAAAGTACAACTGCAGATCCCGTTAGCTGTGGTGTCTGTTTGACAGAATCATGGCTGTTGAACATAAATGTGTATTTTGGCAAAATACGTTTGCCAGGGACCTGACAGTCCACTGAAACCACACCAATCACAATGTGTTAACTTTATGAAGAAGACACTTTAAACACTTTGTATAGGTAATTTTCTGGCCATGGTTTCTAGTATTTAAATCCTCCTTTTACCAATTCTGTGTGGTACTCTCCAGTATAACTTATGTAAATCAGTACTTAGTGTGGAGGGATTTTGGGGAGCATCCAGTACCATAAAGGATGTTCCAGCTTATTTGAACTGGTATCCTTCTGTGCCCTAATGGTGGGGAGGACAATGATAAGCTAGGTGGAGCATGCATATTACACCCCTTCTGCAGTCACGCCACTGGTTACCAGCTAGTTTCCAGGTTCAATTCAAGGCATTGTCTCTCACCTGCAAAGCCCTTTATGGCCTAGCCCCCCCCCCCCCGCATATCTAACAGTGACAGAGGACAGAACAAAGTCCAGTGGCACCTTTAAGATCAACAGGTTTAATTCTGAGTATAAGTTTTCGTGTGCATGCATGCAAAAGCCTATACTTCTGATGCATGCACCCTTCTTCAGATGCATGCACACAAAAGTTTGTAGCCAGAATTAAACTGGTTGGTCTTAAAGGCGCCACTGGACTCAAACTTTGTTCTGTGGTTTCAGACCAACACAGCTACCCACCAGAGTCACAGGGAATGACCTGCCTGAGGAGGCAAAGAAGGCTTTCCTATTGCTATCATTCTGCAGAATGTATAAAACAGAAGTGTTCAGGAGGGTATTTTTATAGAAGGAACAGTACTGGAGTTAATGGCTCTGTTTACTGCATGTATTATCTTCTTCTTACTTTGTTTTTTGATTTCTGTAATCCAGGAATTTTTTACATGCCCATTTTTTAACGTCACGTCTACTACTGTTTTTATTACATTGTTTTCTAATCTCCTAATCCAGTTTTATCACACTTTTTTTGCATGTTTTATACTGTTCCTGTTACATTGTTTAAAATTTTTGTAATCCTCCTTGAACCTCAGTGGAAATGTGGGCTATAAATAAAACTATAGGAATCAGATCAAACCAAAAATCTCATTTTGTTACAGGACAGCGATACTTGTGAACACTTATGTTTCTACTCTTATTGACTGCATTGAGTTTTTAAGGTTAAGATGTTAAAATCTGAGGAAGGGCCTCTGACAGTCAATGGGATCAACGGCTGGAAAAGACAATGAAATGCTGAGGAATAACAAACAACATGGTCAGGATTAGAGATGTAAAATTTCTGGAAATTTTGAAGCTCGGAAAAAAACCCAGGTTTTTTTTTGGGGGGGGGGAAACAGAAATTTTAGGAAAAATTGAAAAAAATGCTACATTAGCACTTCTTTTTTCTTTTCCAAATTGAAAGTCATTCTGTTACTTTAGGAACATAAAATATGACTATGGACATTTTTTCTTGTCATGAAATTATCACAAATAGCATATTAAAATATAGTGTATCCAAACAATTATTACAAACAGAATACCCACCCACATGCAAAAACAAAACTGAAACCTTTTTCTTTTCTTGTGACAATAGCACCTCCTAAAGGAAGAAATGCATCTTGTTCTTGCATTGGAGAGTTCAGTTTGTGACCTAGGACTTGCTTGTCCTCAGTGCACAGAAATTAGATCAATTACATATTTTTTAGAAATGATTCGGAAAATATTTGAACACCTTGTCTTAAAATATGTTATTCATCATGTTAAAATAAAACGTTCCATAATCAATTTTTTTTCTTTTCTTTTTTCAATTTTTCCAATTTTGGGGGAAAAAACAAATAAGCCTTGAAGGAAAAAAATGGAAAAAACCCATCCCCCCCCCCCGAATTTTTCCGTTTTTTTCCCCGGGCCTTCACATCTCTAGTCAGGATTACAGAGACCAAAGATATGATCAGGCAAATAAAAGTGCACGTTAGGAAGCTGGATGTTTCTGGTACATCTGTTAAGGTGCGTAGTATGTTCGACACTTTATTTGGGCATTGCCCTCCCAATGCAACTGTCGAAGTATTTTTATAGCTTGACAGTACCAAAGCGCAGAAGAGCTTTCACTTTGGCTAGAATGGATGCCCTTCCCCAGCGGTCTTGGAGGGCAGATACAAAAAAGTACCATGCGCCAACAGAATATGCAGATGCTCACAAAATAAAAGTTGAAACCATTGAACACAGGATTATAGAACGTCCCATATTTAATGAGTTGAGGGCTAGTTTAATTACCCCTCTACTTTAAAATATGAATGTGCCTAATAAGAGAGCCTAGGTGATGTGGCTGCTGTCGGATATAAAGGACTCTGTTACTCTTCCTGTGACAAAATTTATAGGGGCAATAACTAACTATCAGGGAGATAATAAGTAAGGCTTTTGTAATTTTATTTTCTGCCCAAGGTGATAGCTGTAAGAGCAGTACGAGATGGATGGATAGATTGCATTGAGTTACACTGTGCAATATGAGATAGATCAAGGTGAGTAGCCATGTTAGTAGTTAGCAGTAGAAGAGAGCAAGGCTCCAGTAGCACCTTAAAGACTAACAACATTTGTGGCAGGGGAGGGGCATTCATGAGTCACGGCTGTTATCTGAAGAAGTGAGCAGAGACTCAGGAAAGCTCATCCCCTGCCACAAATCATGTCACGGATAAAATGGATAAAAGGAAGTACACGTCACGGATAAAACGGATAAAAGAAAGTACTTCTTCACCCAAAGAGTGATTAACACATGGAATTCACTGCCACAGGAGGAGGTGGTGGCAGCTACAAGCATGGATGGCTTCAAGAGGGAACTGGATAAACATATGGAGCAGAGGTCCATCAGTGGCTATTAGCCACAAGGTGTAGATAGGGGCTCTGGGGCAAGTGATGCTCTGTCTTCTTGGTGCTTGGGGGGGGTCAACAGTGGGAGGGCTTCTAGTGTCCTGGCCCCACTGGTGGACCTCCTGATGGCACCTGGTATTTCTGGCCACTGTGTGACACAGACTGTTGGACTGGATGGGCCTTTGGCCTGATCCAACATTGGCGTCTCTTATGTTCTTATGTTCAGTCTTTAAGGTGCTGCTGGATTCTTGGCTCTTTTCTTCTGTGCCATCTGCTCAGTGAGAAAGGTGGACTATAAATAAATGACATTTATTTTTATTTATTTCAATGCTGACACGATGCATTTTTTCCCCAGAACAAGTGTAAGCCCCCAGCTATGCCAGCTGGATTTCAGACGGTGCAGACCACCACTTGGTCGCTTGAGACTCAGGAAGAAATTGTGTGCTGTAAATAATTCAGTGCATAGGTTCATACATTGTGAGGAGGTGGTTCAGCTCCCAGGACTTTGTTTCTTTTACTAGACTCTGTTTCTCTTGCAATTTCCAGGCAAGCCAATATTTTCAGTGGATATTCATCCTGATGGGACCAAGTTTGCAACCGGAGGTCAAGGTAAGCGTGCAGCAGTGTTCAAAAAGAAGCATCCCTCCATGTTGGTTGTTGGTCCCTTCCTTTGACATATAGTAATCAAACTTGTATTAAAAGGCAGCATACAATATGGACTACTACATTATTCTGTGTGAGACAGACAGACGGGGGGGGGGAATAATGTTTTCAGTAGCTACTGTATCAAAACATAATTAGCTTGCTGGATAACCCTTTTTTTAAAAATCAAGCAGTGTTAATGTGTAGCTTATCTGATTATACTTTATTGAGCAGGATTTTACACTGTATTTCTGCTTCCGCAGTTTCTTATGGTACACGCTCTGTGGCACAAATGAGAGGTTTATGTTGTGCTGCTGTTGGCTCAAATGCATCCTGTCTGCCCTTGGGTAGTGGTGGCAGTGGCCAGGTAGTGAGCTGGGCTCCTGAAGTTGTACCTGACATCAAGTGACCTGGCCCGCCTGCCACCCAAGGTCCCCATCACACCTGCACATGCAGCAACCGTGCATCTGCTCACACAGTCTTATTGTGCTTGTTCTCCCCTCCAGTGTACTCACTTAGAATGTACTCAGTTAGAATATGTCTAACCCGCCTTTCCCAATAATCAAGGTGATGTACACTGTTTTTAGGAGCTGCGCTGGCTCAAGTGGTTAAGACGCTGAACTGCAGGCTGTGGAAGGTCGGTAGTTTAGCAGTTCGAGACCCGGGTTGCCGCATGATGGAGTGAGCTCCCATGTCTAGTTCCAGCTCCTGCCAACCTAGCAGTTCAAAAGCAAGAAATTGCAAGTAGATAAATAGGTACCACTTTGGTGGGAAGGTACCAGCGTTCCGTGCGCCTTGGTGTTCAGTCCACTTCAGCGACCAGTTTGCAAGTGGATCTTGCCATTTCACACAGTAAAATCCAGTTGCAAAGTGCATTGAAAGGGGATTGAAAGTGCATTATTTAGTGTGTGTGAAAGTGCCCATTTGCTGAAGCAATGTGAATGTGCCAAATAAACCTGAATAAAGTGCTGTTGGATGTCAGAAAGTTAATGTAAAGGGTGTTTTGTCTTTTCCTTGCATTGCATATATTCTGTGTAGAAGTGCCAGTGGCTTTTTTTTAAAGAAAACATAAACAGCATGTTGATTTTTCTTTATTCCTAGGGGAGGATTCTGGGAAGGTTGTGATTTGGAATATGGCTCCTGTCCTCAAAGAAGAAGATGAAAAGAATGAGAATATCCCCAAGATGCTTTGCCAGATGGACAATCATTTAGGTAGGGCAGAATGCAAACACTTGAGGCTTCTTGTCAGTACAAAGAACCTTGGACATGCTGTAGAGAACGGGGACCCTTCACTGCATCACGTGAGGCTCTGAGGAATGTTGTAATGGACCCTGGCCAGGGGCTCCATAGATCCGCAGAAGTCACCCAAAGAACTGACATGAGAGATCTGGGTTTACTTACGAGGGGAGCTTTAATAACCCATCAAAGTTATCAAAGCAGATTCAGGGCTGAGCTCCAGTCAGCTGGCCTCAGGACCAGTGTTCCCTCTAAGCTGTGGAGTCTTGTGAGCAAAAATTCTACTTTGTGAGCTCCTGGCATTAAAGTTGTGAGCGAGCGATTTGGCTGCTGCGTAAATTAGTCTGCTCTGGAGCCATCCTTCCTGAGCGAAGACAAAAATGTGTGAGCCGGAGGCTAAAAATCTGTGAGCTAGCTCACACCAACTCAGCTTAGAGGGAACTATGCTCACGACACGCACACACATGCAGCAGGGCTTCGCTAAACCTTTGAGACCAAGAGCATAGCTATAACCAGGCATCTTATCCTCTAAATGCTGGTGGCAAGCCAAAGAATGATTAATGAAGCTATCCCAAGCACTTGGGTGAGCCAGGCCACCTTGCCCCTGGCTTCCATTGGGGAGAAGAAACACCCCAGGCCTTGGAGACAAGGCTCTGCTAACTAGCATGAGAGTGAGAATGTCCCCCTGAGAGCCGCTCGTGCTGTCCTCTCACAAGAGGGAGTCACTCGGGGCAACACAAATGTAAGCAGTGAAACAGAATCTTATGGCTCACCTGCTTTTGAAGACTACTCTGTCCAGTGAAGAATAAGGGAAGTAAGTGAAGGATTCCTTCACTGCGGGCCCCCAGACTCTTAATTGTATTCTGGGCTGGAAAAGGCTTTAACATGATGATCCTGGTATTGTCCAGTAGACCTCCTGCAGCCCAACCTTGTGTCTGGAAATTAATTTCATGGTACTCTGTCTGTGATAACAGAATGTGTAAATGCTTTGTAGCACTTTGAGTCCAGGTGCTTTTAAACTTTAGTTACTTTATTTATATCCTGCCTTTAGCCCCAATGGGGACCCAGCGAGGCTTACATGATTCTTTTCTCCTCCATTTGATCCTCAGAACAACCCTATAAGGTAGGGTAGTCTGAGAGTATACCCAGCCAGCTTCCATGGCACAAGTGGGGATTCAAACCTGGGTTTTCCCGATCCTAGTCCAACGCATTAACCACTACACCACAATGGCTTTAGTTGTCCTGGAATACAGGCAGAGCAAGGCAACAGAGCTAGGCCACGGTTTAGCAGCTGTCAGACTTCATGGGTTGTTCAGGAAAGCAGAGTCAAAGCAGTCGGAAGTTGTTGATCAGCAAGGTTCAGGCAGGTCTGAAAAGCAGAGTCGAGGGTCAGTCCAAAGGTTGCAGGAGGGAGGCAGAGTCCGGAGTTGTGGTTGCAAAGGTCACAGGGTTGTGACATGTTGCTTCCACAAATCTGCAGTTCTCCCGGTCTGATTTATGTAGGCATACCTTAACAAGCCCGATTTACAGCCATCTGCTTGGAGGTGCTCCTGCACTTACTCAGAACTGCTATCATTAAGCAGCTTGCTACGCGTGTCCTTAAGTCTTGCCAGAGTTTTTCCTTTCGCTGTTCAATTGCTGGGGGGGGGGGGAGCCTGGTGGGCTACTTTCCTGCAGCTGTGCTTCCTTGGCTGCTTCAGAGCTAGGCATGGGTGGGTCAAGGTCAGCTGCAGGTAATGAATCTTGAGGCTTCTGTGTATCTCTAATTCACTAACTTTAGCTGGTTCAGAGCTGGCTGCATGTGGCTCCTCGACTCCTGAGGAGTCTTCAGACACTCTGGACTCAGGCTGGCCCACAGCACTAATTGTCCATTATTGAAACAGTTTCTGCTTTACAGATGGAGAAAGTAATTTAGAGGCGTGTTTCACACAGCATCGACTATTACAGATTACTGGTGATTTTAGCCCAGGTCTCCTGTCTCTTGTGCCATCCACTGGGCGTTCTAGATTACAGTGGATCCTGGAGAGTTCTGTCATCCTTTTTCTGTACAGTTTTAAAAACTATACATGCATATACATAATGAGAAAGCTAACATGATTACAGGACTAGGAAGGTTAAGAAAGCGCTTTCACATCAAGTAATCCAACACAGTCCTTTTGCACATCCCAAGCTTTTAAAGGGAATATTGAAACTACTAGCTATGTCCATCTATTTCCCATGTCTTTTGTTATTCATTTGGAGCTTTTGTTTGAAAAGCAGAAGGGAAAAAAGGACAGATATAAATATATATTTATAAAATAATACCCAAATTGTCTTGCGTGTGTTGAACTGCCTTTTCTAGCCACTTCTGGGCTATTTTGCATGTTTCCTTTCATTTCAGCTTGTGTGAACTGTGTGCGTTGGTCAAACAATGGGCTTTATCTGGCTTCCGGGGGAGATGACAAGCTGATCATGGTTTGGACAAGAGCGACGTAAGCATTCTTCTTCCTGTACTGAATTTAGGACTTATCTAGTACTGCTCATATGGCTGTCACCTTAAGCAGAAATTTTTTAGGACTTATCTGTTCTTGATCTATCCCTTATTTATCATCAGTGCTGTGCAAATGCTTGTAGAATATGAAAAAAGAGCTATGGATATAGTTTATTCAAGGCACATTTTAACAACTTGCCTGAATTTGTGGTTGTCCTTTATGGACTTAGGTTGGTCTGCAACATGTTCAGAACAAACTTAAGTGATGTTTAAAAAAATGAAGGTGGAACCACACCAAACAGTATTAAAGCCACCTACTATGAGCCAGCTCAGTTATTCCATTTTAGAAAAATGCTTTGGCCCAAAAGTTTCAAAGGTGGCTTCCAGGCTTTATCAATAGTTAAAGTAGCTTATCATTAAAATCAGCAATAAATAGCAGCCTTAAAAATGGCTCTTAAAACAAGCCCATAATAATAAAAGCCAGGACTGACTGTAACAATCAGAGCAGCAGAAGACTAAATATATCAGGGAGAGGGAGGAGATACCAACCAAACTCCTGGGAGAAAAGATTAGTTGTCACCTGGCTGGCAGCGAAAGCCAAGCAAACCAGTTAGAGAGATTCTTGTGGTTTGGCAACTATCCATGCTGTGGATTTCTGCAGTTGAAGGGACCACATTGTGAGAACAGTTCTTCAGATCTGGACTACCGTGCTCTCTGTGTGTGAAGGGGAGAAGGGGATGATGGAAAGACGGTTGCTATGGCTCAGTCTGCTCTGTTTCATGCCCACTATACTTCAGACCTATGCCACTATCAGTATCTGCTTCCAATGTGAACTTGTGCCCAATCAAGAGACAGCAGGAGGGCATTCTTTGGACTATCGAGTAATGCAGGTATTGGAAGAAGCAAAAGCAGATCGCTGTCTTTGGCTTCCTTCTGGATCTGCTGTCATAGATGCTGCAAAGTTTTGTCATTCCCTAGATTAGGAGAACCAGATAGGAGGACAGGGTACAAAGATTACAGAATGCAAGTTTTGAGAAACGACGTTTGAAATATTGGTCTAGTGAAACATAAGCAAAATTGTCCTTACCTGATTTCAAAGGGCTCCCCACTTAACAGGGTGGTAAAGAAAACAGTTGCTGGCCCTGATTAAATTTTCTGTGTGTGTGTGTGGGGGGGGGGGTTGTTTTGTTTTTTGGTTTGCTGAAATTGAGTTCATATTTTTTTTGGTGTTCTACACTACCATGTGGCTGTTTATCAGTACCTTGTCCTTTCTTAAATAGGTACATTGGACCTAGCACAGTGTTTGGTTCCAGTAGTAAACTTGCGAATGTAGAACAGTGGAGGTGCGTCTCAATTCTTAGAAGCCATTCTGGTGGTAAGTATTTTCTTTTTCCCCCCCCCTTCCAACCCTCAAAGATAATCTGATTCCCCCAGTGCAATTCTGAAGATGGCACCCATCCATTCAGCATTCACTCTGGGCTTTCTTGGCTTGTTCAGATGGGTGTGGTTAAGATGGGTGTGTGTGAAACCCAATGAAGTGATGTGGCCCGTGTTGTTTCTCAATGCACTTTTTCAGTTTAATTAATTAAGTGCTCATTTACAGCAAGCAAACCTCAAAAACTGAACCCCACTAACTCACCGGTTATTCTTGAAATGTACAGCTTTAGTGTAGTTTCATGTAGTGGTTAGGAGCACAGACTCTAATCTGGTAGAACTGGGTTTGATTCCCCACTCCTCCACATGCAGCTGCAGGTGTGACTGGGTCAGTCACAAGTTCTCTCGGAGCTGTTCTCTCAAGAGCAGTTCTTGAAAGAGGTCTCTCAGCCCCACCTACCTCACAGGGTGTCTGTTGTGGGGAGGGGAAGGGAAAGGAGATTGAGGATCCTTCGGGTAGTGAAGGGTGGGGTATAAATCCAGTCTCTTCTCTTCTCTTCTTTCAAATAAGTATTAAGCAGGTGATATATGCTCACCATTTAGTTTGTGTGTCGCACCAGTTTTTGAAATTGCATGCTGAATAGTTGATAGCATCTTTTCAGGCTCTTTTTCATTGGCTAACGCAATAATAGCAGCATGCACATTCATTGGTTGAAGGGACTAAGAAGTACTCATTTTTTGCTTGGTCTTATTCGTCCACTTAAATTCAGACTTGGAGGTAGCAAGCAGGAAAATTTAGGAAGCTTACCTAGTATATTATCTGGGGTTGGGTGGGGCATCCACCTCCAGCCCCAGTTGTGCTGCCCAGTGGGAACCTGATCAGTTGGTCATATAGCTTGTCTGCACAAAAGCTAAGTAGAATTAAAATTGACTTTAGATCCAGGTGGGCAGCCGTGTTGGTCTGAAACAGCAGAACAAATTTTGGGTCCAGTGGCACCTTTGAGACCAACAAAGGTTTATTCAAGGTGTGAGCTTTCATGTATGTGCACACTTTTTCAAATACATTGGAATAGTAGGTAAGGTATGCAAAGTGCTGACTTTGCATATCTGAAACATCATCATGTTACATGTTAATTTGGTGTTACGTCCCTGTCTATAAGTTTGACCCTTACCTCCCACTCCACTGTGTTTGAAAAAGTGTGCATGCACACGAAAGCTCATACCTTGAATAAAGAAGGAGAGGAGACTGGATTTATACCCCGCCCTTCACCCGGAGTCTCAGGGCGGCTTACAAACTCCTTTCCCTTCCCCTCCCCACAACAGACACCCTGTGAGGTAGGTGGGGCTGAGAGAGCTCTCTCGAGAACTGCTCTTTCAAGGACAACTCTGATAGAACTATGCCTTGCCCAAGGTCATCCAGCAGCTGCAAGCGGAGGAGTGGGGAATCCAACCCGGTTCTTCCAGAGTAGAGTCTGTGCACTTAACCACTACACCAAATGGCCTCTCCTTTGTTGGTCTTAAAGGTGCCACTGGACTCTAAATTTGTTCTAAAATTGACTTTGTAACCAGAAATGGAAAAACACTATGGTGGGACATATCAGAGGAGGCAAACAATTTTAGAGAATGGCTGTGTATCTGTTGTGTGGTTCATGACATAATAATTTATTCAATTTTTGGTTAAATGATGTGTCTTGTGGTGGGATGATGAGATGGGAAGGGGAAGTATGTAACTTCAGAAAATGTGGGAGGGACTTCTTCAGTTATGGTATATTAAAAGTGCATGACCAGACAGGATTTTCTGGTCTCTTTGCCTTGTAGAGAAGCTCTTAAGGTGTTTTTATGTATAGAGTAATAGTGCTGAAGGAATCAATATGAGCTTAAATAGGATGTTTCATTGGAGGAGCCTGGAATGAAGCAAATTAAAAAATCATTTTATGGATTGCTTCTTAGACGTGAAATAGTACTTCCCAGTTATCCGTTGGTGTTGTCTTAGGTGGTTATTTTCTTCTTTGCATTGGAAGTGTCTGCTTGCTTAAAATAAAAAAATAAAAACACAATTTCTCCAATTTCATTTTTTAAAATTCTTCCCACTGTTAATGGCTGCAGGAAGTTGATTAAAATGACAGAATCAGCTCATAGATGACAGCCTTGTAAGGATCTACGGAAAGGCCTCTCAGGAAAAGGGATATAGCTTGCTTCTCACAGGCCATGAACCTAAAACATTGGTTCAGGTGTCAGGCCTGGAACTCAGGCCGTTAAACTTGCAAAAGCCGTTTTGCTAAAAAGGACCCACAAAAGAGTCTTTTCGCTGTTTCATGCTGCAAATACCAGATATCTTATTGGCAGGACAATTGTTTTGCCTATTAAGCTTTTTAAAGTAAATAATTACTGAACTAAATATATACAACATTGGCCGAAGATGGGAGAAGGATGGGGAACGGTGCTATTGCTGAAGAAAAATCCTGCATAGGACAATACTTTAATCCTTTCTTTTCACTCAGATTTCACTTACATTTATGTACCTGTATTTCAATCACTTTAGACTATGCATACCTTATGTTACACATATAGTTAATCATAGGAGTAGGGTTTATGGGAGTTTTAGCTATGCTCGGGAAAGTAATGTGTTTTCCAGAATCAAGGATGGACATTAGAACTAAATAGGTCCAAATTAGGAAGTTTGGCACAAGAAATCTTACGTAAGGACATTGCACAGGGTCAAGATAACCCTAGCGAAAAAGGGTAACTCCAAAGATGGGGATGCCCCGGGAAGAACAAACTAGCAATAACAACTATTTTGTTTAAAGGTCAGATGAGATAATATGAACAATTCTAATTGATTGGAGAACAATTTAAAGGTCAGGGTTTCTGATTGGTTAATGGGGGAATAGGATAGGCAAGGAGGAAAAACATAAAAGGAGAAAACTGGTCGGCATGGAGGTTGGGTCAAGAGAGATAGGAGTACGCTCCCGTCTCCTTGTTCCAACTTCTCCATAGGAACCCAGAGGGCTGTCATCTTCGTCGGTCTTACAAGTGCTTCAAGAGTGGTGAGATATGTTATTTTTGCAAAATTCTACTCCTAGCCTATCTGGCTAAAATTGTAACAAACAATTAGGGAATTGTGCAAAATGTAATTTCTTGAACAACTGACGATGGAAAAGCTGCTATTTGAAGCTATGTTTAAATAAAATTCATAAATCGGCAGATGTATCTGGTCTTTCCTTGTCCGAGACAAGTCCACTCACAGACACAGAGCATAACCAAAAGATCCCGCCCGCTAGCCAAGTGGCATAGCTAAAAGGAAAATAGCTAACAGCCTCTTCCCTAGCTGAACAGGAGGTTCTTGAATTTATGTAACATATAAAAATCTGTGCTCTTGAATAAGAGAGGCACAGATTTCACCAAATTCATAGAGCTTCAGTGGTGGGAATTTAGCTGTGCATTTCGGTTTGGATGGTGGAATTCAGAGATCTATGTACTGTTAAGCCAATGGGCGAACGAGTGTCCATTTCTACAGAGGCGTATCTTACAGAAGGCTTTTGTGTTCCCTTAGATGTCATGGATGTGGCGTGGTCTCCTCATGATGCTTGGCTGGCCTCTTGCAGTGTGGATAACACTGTCGTTATCTGGAATGCCGTCAAATTTCCAGGTACGATTTCCATGCTGATCAAATTGTGAGAGGCAGAAGTTGGTTGCTCTGTTTCTTCTCTGTCTGTACCTTTTTATTATCTATGCATTTTATTTTAGAGAGGAGCAACAACAGCAAATGCCTGTTTTAGTTGTGCCTGGCTCAGCTTTTTCTTTGCTCTGGTGTTGGTTTTCTTGTGTGTGTTAAGTGCCGTCAAGTTGCTTCCGCCGTATGGCAATCCTACAAATTAATGGCCTCCAAAATGCTCTGTCATTAACAGCTTTGCTCAGGTCTTGCAAACTGAGGGCTTCCTTAATCGAGTCGATCCATCTCATCTTGGGTCATCCTCTTTTCCTGCTGCCTTCAACTTTTCCTAGCATTATTGTCTTTTCCAGTGACTCTTGTCTTCTCATAATGTGACCAAAGTGTGGTATTCTCGGTTTAATCAGGCCCCGGTCAAACGGGCAGGAAAATGCGGGGGGGAAGCATGGCTGTTTGCCCCGGAGCAAAATAACGCGTGGTTGCACGATCAGACGTCCCGTCGAGGTCCCGTGTTTAGGGGGAGGTGCCGATCACACGACCATCCTGCAGCATGGCAAAGAAGCGGCGCAGTGTGATCACACCAGCAATCGCTAGGCGCCGCTTCCATGGCAAACGGGATAGATTTTTTAAAAAACTGACGTTTGTACATACGCATGACTGAGCAATCGTATCTGCACATCCGAAGGCGGGTGGTGGGCTTACCGGAGAGGGCGACAGACGCTTCTGGACCCCAATAGAGCTCCGAGGCATAGCCAATGGAGGGGGAGGGTGTGCGCATCCTGTGGAGACTTGGGGGGGAAAAAACCTGTTCGCGATGGGACATGGGCGGGCGCCAGATGCCACGGGATTCCACCAGAAACGCGATCAGGCGCCCGCCCTTGCCCCGTGGTTTCCGGAAACTAGTACCTCGGAGGTACTAGTTTTTTACCACACATCTTCGGCGGGAAGCCTCGGGTTCGGCACGGGAGCTCTACGCTTCCCAGATGTGGTGGTGTGGTTGCGCCCGGAAAATCCGCCTATCTTCCGTCTCTGTAGCGTGGCTAATGTTCCGTGTGACCGCAGCCTCATTTTAGCTTCTAGGGAGAGTTCAGGCTTGATTTGATCTAGAACCCTTTTTGGCAGTCCATGGTATCCGTAAAACTCTCCTCCAGCACCACATTTCATATGTCTGGTTTTCTTAGTGCATATCTTTTCGATGTAGTGACTGGTCTTCATTACATTTTCCCAGATTATTCTTTTGTTTCGCATAATTGCATTTATGCATGAGTCCCCCCCCCCCCCCCAGTAGTTTGTATTGAGAAGCTTCCAGGCTTCATTCGTCTTGATTTCTCTGAGAGGACCTTGTGAGCCTCTCACAGACATCTCTAATTCAAACGGCTTCTGAGAAAACTAAACATCTACTCTGTAATCTCTTTATTGCATGCAGAAATCCTGGCCACTCTGAAGGGTCACTCGGGCTTAGTTAAGGGACTCACCTGGGACCCCGTTGGGAAATACATTGCATCGCAAGCGGATGACAGGAGCTTGAAGGTGTGGCGGACTATGGACTGGCAGCTAGAAACCAGCATTACCAAGCCGTTTGATGAGGTACGTGTTCTGTCACAGGGCATGTGGAGGAACAGAAGATCAGGCTGCGGTAATCATTTCAGCAAGCCATCCTGGGGTGAACGAATCTGGCAAGCTCATTGCTTGTTTAAACGTCGTCTGCCCCAGCACTCACCAGCAATGCTTAGGAGGTGGTTATTGACCGCAAGAAAGTGCACCAAATCTATATTCACGCTATAGTATGCAGAATGAAAGCAGCCTAAAAATAAGAGTGCGATAAAATCAATAATTTGAAGCAATCTTTTTAAATGCTTTACATTTTTTTTGTAAGAGCCAAGAGTCCAGTAGCATCGTAAAGACTAACAAAATCTGTGGCCAGGTATGAGCTTTCGTGACTCACTGCTCACTTCTTCAGATACAGCTAGAATGTGAGTCCATGTGTCCTTATATCTTGGAGAGTGGAGTGATTTCAGATGCTGAATGACAATAGCAGGTGAATGACAGTAGCAGGCATGATTAGATAGGTGTGATATGCAGAGGGGTAGTAGGCATGGAGAAATCAGCATTGGTAATGAGACTAGAAACCTAGCTCTCGATTCAGTCCAGGAGGATGCATTGCCTTGAGCTTCATTATCTGTCGCAATTCAGCAGTCTCTCTGTCTACTCTCCCTTTGGAATTCCTTTGTAAAAGAACTGCTGCTCTTAGGTCAGCAACTGAATGTCCTGGAAGGATAAAATGTTCCCCTACTGGTTTTGGAATGTTGTGGTTTCTAATGTCAAGCTTATGTCCATTTATTCTTTGTCGTAGGGACTGGCCTGTTTGTCCAATGTAGAAGGTGAAAGGGCATTGCTGACATGTTATGGCATAAATCATGTTTTTTAAAAAGTGCTTTAAGAGATCTTAACCAGCCAGCGGTATATTGCTTAAGTATACTGAGCTGGCTTAGATTGTAAAAAGAGCAGGGGCGAATAAAAACAATCATCAATAAAATACAAATGTTTTTTCACTAAGTACCTAAAGTGCAACGTGCTAGGTGAATTTCTGTATAAAGTGAGTTCCATAATGTGGGTGCCACAACAGAGAAGGTCCTGTTGCCAGTGCTCACACACTTTATGTCTGAATATGGCAGCACACAAGGAAGGGATTGTTTCCTCTTTTTAAGCTGACGGGTGGGCTCATATGAGAGTGGATAGACCTTCAGGCATCCTTGTTCTACACCAAGTCTAGCAAGCTGCCTTGCCACTGCATTCTGTAGCAGTCAAAGCATTTGAACAGTCTTTAAAGACATTGTTAAGCCCGTTACAGTAATCTAACCAGAAGGTATTTACAGCATAGGTAATTATAGCCAAACCGTGTCTCCTGAAAAAGGGCTGCAGATGAACATTTCAGAGCATTTTGCAGTGGTCTGTTCTTTGTGCTGGTCTTTTTTGCATTTGGGAGGAGAGTGGTTGTCCTTTCAGAGCTTTTTCAAAATCTCCATGTTTTTGCTCATCTACTGGATTTTTGATGCTGATATTCCTCTCTACTTACTGCAGTTTTAAAAACTGAGAGTTCATGCAGTAGGTTTAAAACTTTATAGTTAGAATTGCAAATCACTACCCACGTGAAGCCTTGGAGACCATGTTGTTGCCAAGGGACCTTCTGTTGTATGTGTGAAGGAGACCTCAGGTTACATCAGTCCCCTCTCCTCATAAAAAGTGTGTTGAAAAGGGAAGTGTTAAAGATCATTACTGTTATCATTTGCCACCTTTTTTCTTATTTGTAAACTCCGAGAAACATGTCCAGTGTCTAATTATTTATGTGGCCTTATTTCGTTCCAGTGTGGTGGAACCACGCATGTTTTACGCCTCAGCTGGTCACCTGATGGGCATTATTTAGTCTCTGCTCATGCCATGAATAATTCCGGACCTACGGCACAGATAATTGAGAGAGATGGGTGGAAAACCAACATGGATTTTGTAGGCCATCGCAAAGCGGTGACAGTGGTGGTAAGTAATTCTCCTTCCAGAACACAAACAGGAGTGAAGCTGTGAGCCAAAGAACAAAACGAGTCCAGTCGCAGCTTGAAGGCCAAGAGCATGGTTCCTGAGTGGAAGCTCACTTCATCAAATACAAATGAGAATGGAGATCAGTCAGCCTCTATAGCCAGATCAGAAAATGGGTGGGGTGTTTCTGAGAAGGACCAGTTGGAGTCAGGATGCAGAAGTGCAGTGCAAAATGTAATCTGCTTGATTAGAGCTAAGATTTGACCTCTGCCACCAGAATCTCATTGGCCCTTCTTTGTAACACCCTTCCCACTTTCTGACCTGATGGATCTTTGTTTTCATTCATATCTGGCAAAGAGAGCTTGGACTCACGAAAAGTTATACTCTGGAGAATTTTGCTTGCCTTTAAGGTGCCACTGCACTTGGATATCGTTCTTCTGCTACCGACGAATACAACGACCCACCTGGAACTAACTGAAGGTTAAACTGGGGATAATTACAGAGCCTGCATGGTCAAGTGAATAGTGTGTGGATCAGGTTAGGATCAGGGAGTCTTGGGAGGAGAACTATGTATACAATTTGGACTTCTTTGGAAGAAGGGTGGGATGAAGAAGAGGAAATTGGATTTATACCCTGCCCTTCACTACCCGAAGGAGTCTCAGAGCGGCTGACAATCTCCTTCCCCTTCCCATCCCCACAACGGACACCCTGTGAGTTAGGTGGCTGAGAGAGCTCTCTCGAGAACTGCTCTTGAGAGAACAGCTCTGAGAGAACTTGTGACTGACCCAAGGTCACACCTGCAGCTGCATGTGGAGGAGTGGGGAATCAAACCCGGTTCTCCCAGACAAGAGTCTGCACTCTTAACCACTACACCAAACTGGCTCTCTAGCATAAAGATGAGAGCATAAGAACAGCCACACTGAATAGACTCAGTGGGTCTGTCTGGTCCAGCATCACTACCCACAGTGGCCAACCAGATGCCCTAGAAGCCTGCAAACAGGGCATGGAGGGCCAGGTCTTCCGTTGTTGCCCCCTCTTCAGCACCCAATGCTGGCATGTAGAGGGACACAAATGGGGGGGGAGAGATATAAACTAACTGAAGGGACAGTTGCGCTTACTGCACATGACTAAGGTCTTGATGGAGAATGCTCACAATGGGTGAGACAATGAGAGTTTGTGGCCAGGAACACTGATGGTAGTATTCTGTACGACAAAGTTTGAGTCCAGTGGTACCTTTAAGACCATCAAAGTTTTATTCAAGGTATAAGCTTTTGTGTGCAAGCACACATCTTGGTAGTATTCTGTGTGAATCATCCTAGAAGTAAAAAAGGAAGCACCAGATTGGAAGTGTTGGTTGTACATACTGAAAAAGCTACCTTTAGTAGTGTAGACAAGTCATACCCAGAGCTTGTCTTGTTGATATTATTCTTATCTTCCAAACATAAATTGACGTTATTCGTATCCTCTAAATATTGTAGCACTTGTGCCTTGTGTTGAGATTGAATACTTGTGGGTATATTATTGCCTTACGTAGCACACAGTGCTGCTGTTGTAGATTCTTTTCTCCTACGTATTTAACATTTGTACTTTTGCATGGTTTGTGAGGGATGATTTCTGCCATGCATAATACACTTTTTTACCTTTTGAAATTTAGTAGTATTTGTATTTTTTGTATTAGTATCTAAAGATGGCATGACTATTGTCCTATGTTAGATATATAACTACATGTTTATATAAGCTGGTGGTTCCCTCGTTTGTTTGTTACTAAGGACGTCTTCCCTTTCTTTTCTTTTTTTTTTTGGTCATCCTAAAAATATACAGACTAGGCATTTTAGGGAAACGTTAATCTCTCTTGTTTCTGTGTTTACACCTTGTATGTGATTTCCTCTTAAATGTCTACTCCCTAAATTGAGTGTTTCCTGTGTGTGTTCTTCCTTTTCAGAAATTCAATCCAAAAATCTTTAAAAAGAAGCACAAGAACGGGAGCTCAACCAAGCCCAGCTGCCCTTATTGCTGTTGTGCCGTTGGGAGTAAAGATCGGTCCCTTTCTGTCTGGGTAAGTAAGCGTTCCATACCTGTGGACATGATCCACCTGGTTGAGTATTCCAGACACATAGCAGGCGTGTCAAACCCAGCACCTTCTCTTTTCATATGAGTTTTGATTTGGCTAAATGGACTTCTGTCTGATATGTGTGAGGTGTGCAGCAGCATGTCACAAAAAACGTGTTGTGTTTTTCTGGATTGGGTTACCTTGAGATTTAAGCAGCTTTCCATGACTATATTTAAAGCTCACCAATATGCCAGAGAACAGTTTCCCGAGCACATTCAGGTGAAACTTAGTTTTTGTCACTTTTAAAACTGTGGGTGCTTTATTCTGAGGGGGAAGAGGCAGCCCACTGCTGCTCTGTCTTGCTGTATTTGTACACTGCTTTTCAGTTAAAAAAAAAAGGTCCCATGTTTGTTCTAAGCGGAAAAATAAAGCCGTTCAGAATGAAAATAATGAAATCAGCTTTGGTAGCAGAAGGATGCTGTGTGTTTGTGTGCGTGCGTGTGTGTGTGTGAGAGAAAGAGAGAGAGAGAGAGAGAGAGAGAGATGTTGCTGTTTCCTCCTTCCCAGACCCAGTGGCCAAGCTGGAAGACATAAGAGAACATAAAAGAAGCCATGTTGGATCAGGCCATTGGCCCATGCAGTCCTACCCTCTGTGTCACACAGTGGCCAAAACCTAGGGGTCAGCATAGGTGTGCCCCCTCCCTAGGTGCTGCATAGAGGAGTCTTACAGCACCAAATATTGGTCATTCCTAGGGGGCAATGTGGCAGTCATCCTTAAAAGTCCCGCCTCTCCTCTAGGGCTTTTAACCAATCGTGATCTGGGCCTCATGTAAATCCAAGTGTTTGTCAGCCAATCAGAGCGTAAGGACCTCCACTGGATGGGAGGAGGTGAGCCAGCCTCAGCTTAAGAAGGGTGGAGGAACCTTTTAAAAATTTTGGGTAGGGATTTCATGGTCCTCAAAAGGAGCATCAGCCTAGCTAGGCATTTATTTGGCTTTTAGTGAGGGTTTGGGGGTCGGTTTAGGGAAGAAAGTTTATTTTTATGTGACAAATAAACATCCTGTTAAGGGCCCGTCATTCCTTAGCGGTGCATGCAGGTTCTGTGGTAAAGTGCTCTGTGAGAGAAAAGAGCAGCCTTGAACCTGCTGAGGTAAACCTGTCCAGAGAAAGGGGAATCAAATCTCCCCTCAGGGGTTATTTACGTTACCTGAGAGCCAGTTTTTCTTTATACATCTCAGTTAACCACACATCGTATTTACCTTATTAAATAGTTTGTTAAAGAAACCTTTGTAGTTCATCTCCATCTGTGTCTTGTCTGTCAGGTTAAAAATCGAGGAAGCTAGGGTCTCTGTTCACCTCACATATAAGTACAGCCTTAGTCTAGCAGGTTTCCAGATATGAGACCTTTAGGGAGCACACAGCTTATACGCTACCAATCTTTATTTTAATGCTTATGTCACCCCCTTTTTATTTGATTGTGAGCGGTTGGGGTATAAAGAACCTATAGGAGAGGCCAGAGTGGGGGACTGGACATTCTTCAGTCCAGAAGGCAGTTCTCCCCCCCCCCCAACCCCATAGGTACCACAGCAGACCCTCTCTTCAACTGGATTTCTGATGCAAAGTAGCGTAGTTTCTGCTTGACAGTTGTAGAGATATTGGGGGGGGGGGATCATCCCTTCTCCCCAAACTTCTGGATGTTCCCGTTGGAGCTGTTTCCTTCTTTAGAGGCCCCATGATACGAGCAGGGAACTGTGTCCCCAGCCACCTCCAGATGTTTGCAGAACAATCTTTTGCAACTCTTAATGATATCTAAGTTGAAATGACATGCTTATACTTCCCCGCATGTGTGTAGCCTGTTTGTTCCTTTCCCCCATTGTCATTTCAATTTCAGAATCTCCTTAAATTCAGCATTTAATGAGTTTGTGTGCGCGCGCGCATCTGTAAGGATGACAGAGGAAGGCAGTGACAAACAACCTCTGCTCTTTTCTTGCCTTGAAAACCCCACAGCGGGGTTACCATATGTCAGTTGTGACTTGACAGTTCACTTTACCTTTTTTAAAAAGATGGCAGAAAAGGATGTTGCGTTTCATTTCATAACAGAGTTGGGTGGGTTTGCTGCTAAAATGTTGTGCAAAGCCATACTATCAAAGAGTCACTCTAGACACCTACTCTGTACGTTGGTCTCAAAACCGCAATAATAAACTAAACGAAACACTCCAGGCACAATTCAAATTTTCATTAAAATTGTTTCTTCGAGGTAGAATCTCTTAGTCTCTATAAGGGAGGTGGAAATAGAGCATGAAAGGAAATTGCTTTCCAAACGTTCCAGGCCTTTCTCCAGTGGCCGTTCACCTAAATTGCCTCAATGTGTGGTATAAATTTTCTACGTTACTTGATTCTAGAATTTTGAGGTTAGTGCACGACAGTGAAATTAATCTACCTGTAACTTTGTTTTTAAGCTTACGTGTCTGAAAAGGCCGTTGGTGGTTATACATGAGCTGTTTGACAAGTCGATCATGGACATCTCATGGTAAGATGGCTTTAATTGTGACAAAAGGAATTATTGTACAGTATTTTGTCCATTAAAAAGTTTGCTTCAATGGTGCTATCAGCTGTCCTGTAATGTGTTCTCCAGCATCATCTTCATTAAGCCATTTCCCTTGGGCTCAGCTGTGATTTCATGCATTCCCAGGAAGTTCTGTAATTTCTTTAGTTCCAACAGTTGAAAAAAACCAGGTTTGCAGCATTTCTTTGCTTTGTGCCGTGTACCTCTCAGGAGCACAATGAGCATACTTCAAAATATTATATCTAATAAGCACGGGAAATGGAGTGCACTGGAACTTGAATGCATTTTCTGTGGCTTGGTTTAGATTTTCCAGGTTGAAAGGGCGAGTGTTGGGTAAAAGCTAAAGAGCCAACCAAATCCAGGGCTAACACAGTCATTAGTCTAGCTGGGTTACAAGTGAAAAAGATGTTGAGGTTTGAGGGCTAAAAAAATGGACACACAAAGTGTTTTTGTAGGTTGGCTGAAAGCTAGTGGGCAACTAAGCCTGTTTGGAATGGGGCGGGGAGGTGTGGCTTAACACCCTCCAGTTCATAACTAGTTTATGCTATGCTATTGACTAATTAAAGAGGCTTGGCCAGCTTGCACTTTCATGCACCTTGACCAATCTGGACCTTCTCATCAGGAGGAGGAGGAGGAGGAGATTGGAGTTATATCCCGCCCTTCACTACCCAAAGGTGTCTCAGAGCGGCTTACAAACTCCTTTCCCTCCCCCTCCCCACAACAGACACCCTGTGAGGCAGGTGGGGCTGAGAGAGCTCTTGACAGAAACTGCTCTTTTTCAAGAACAGCTCTTATCAGAGCTATAGCTTGCCCAAGGTCATCCAGCCAGGTGGAAGTGGAGGAGTGGGGAATCAAACCCGGTTCTCCCAGATTAGAGTCCACACACTTAACCACTACACCAAACTGGCTCTCTCCTCCTTTTGTTGCTTGTGCTTGAGCCAGAGGTTGTCCTGGGCTGTGATGTTCCAGGCAAGTTAGTAGGAAAGAGCAAGAGTTCAGTAGCACCTTAAAGGCTAACAAATGTTGTTAGCCTTTAAGTTGCTACTGGACTCTTGCTCTTTTCTGCTGCTACAGACAAACACGGCTACCCGTCTTGATCTCCCTTCAGGCAAATTAGTGACAGAGCCCAATAAGTCCATAGCCCTGTCTCTTTGTCCTCTCAAGCCAAAACCGGGATGCGGTTCTGTTCAGTGATCCAGGTCGAGTTTTCTTGATGAGAATGCAGGCTATCATCATTGGAGCAAAATCATCATTTCTCTTCTGCCATGGGATTCGTATAATGAAATCAAAGAGCCGTCCATCTTTTTAGTTAGAATACATATCAGCTGGTTTTCTTCCTTGAAGGTAGTACCCAGAATGCCTTTCAACAGCATGAGGACAATCACAATATAATGCACAAAAACATAATAAAATGTAACAAATGATTGGAATGTCTGACTGTGTCTTGGGCAAGTCTTGAGACCAACGGGCCAAGTTTGTCCAGGGAGCAGGGCAAGAATTGAAGGCCAAGAGCCTTTTTGCCTGTGCTCAAGGGCTCATGCCTCTGGCCACGTCCAGTCTTAATACCCGCACTCAGGAAACAGGATGAGTAAACAAACACACAGTTTAGATGGCCTAGGAGACAGTAGAGGTCCTCCCCTTCTGCCCTCCCTGCTCAGGGCTTCTGGCCATGCCTTATCTGTATACCTTTTTTAGAGGTTTACAGGCTGAGAATTATGTGACTAGAATAAGCTAGTGAAAGACAAACTGCCAGCAAAGTTCCATGAATGTAGTCTTTATGGGTAACAGTATGTACAGTGTAGGGGCTATGGTGGCTCAAGTGGTTAAGACACTGAACTGCAGACCGGAAGGTCGATACTTCAGCAGTTCGAGACCCGAGTGCCGCATGATGGGGTGAGCTCCCATCTCTGGTCCCGGCTCCTGCCAACCTAGCAGTTCGAAAGCAAAAAATTGCAAGTAGATAAATAGGTACAGCTTCGGTGGGAAGGTAACAGCGTTCTATGCGCCTTGGTGTCTAGTCATGCCGGCCAGATTCGACTGGGTTTCGAGCAAGGGAAACCTTTACCTTTATCTTTACCTTTACTATGTACAGTGTAAAAAAGGCGTCTGTGCTTTATGTGCCAGCTCTGGATTGGGAAATTCCTGGAGATTTGGGGGGTTAGAGCATGGGGGTTGGTGGGGTTTGGGAAGGGGAGAGACCTCAGCTCTGTTTAATGCCACTTTCCAAACAGCCATTGCCCCCCATGGGAACTGATCTCTGTCTGTTGATGAATTGTAATTCTGGGAGATTCCCAGCCACCACCTTCGGGTTGGCATGCATAGCCATAGACCTGCCAGGGCTATTGGGGTGCAATAACACTTCCATTCCACTTGAGGGTGCTTTGCTTCCTCAGCTGCAGTGGGGGAAGTGCTCTCTTTCCCCTGTTCCACGTTGCTCCCCCTGGTGGTCTGTAAATGTGGTGGGACATCTTCCTGTTGTGAGAAGTTGACAGTAGGCATAACCTTAGTGGTTCAACCTGAAGGTATATATGGAGCAATATGGAGTAGGCTTTTAAAAACCCTGTAGTTGGACATGGAGGAGGAGGTCATGCTTGCATAAGAACATAAGAGACGCCAGTGTTGGATCAGGTCAAAGACCCATCCCGTCCAACACTCTGTGTCACACAGTGGCCAGAAATACCAGGTGCCGTCAGGAGGTCCACCTTGAACGGTTAAAAGCTGGTCCATCAAAGTAACATTGGGAAGTGTCTAAAAAGGTTAACATTTTACTCTTATTTTTTAATCTTTCCGATATGAAAATATCTGAGTTGGCAGTAAGTCTTAGGGAGGTGACATTTCATATTAATGGTTATTTCTGTTAATCACTAAATCAGTGACAGAGTTAATTCCTGTCTCCCCCCCCCCCAGACAAAGTCATGAAAGAATAATGTACATGATACTTCTATAGGGTTGAGAAATTTCTGGCGATTTGGAGGTGGAGCCTAGGGAGGGTGGGGTTTGGGGAGGGGAGGGTCCTCCATGGGGTATAGTGCCGTTAAGTGTCTGCCCTCCAAAGCTGCCATTTCCACCCGAAGCACTGATCTCTGGCGTCTGGGAATCAATTGAGATTCCAGGAGATCCTCAGGCCCCACCTCAAGTTTAGCAACTCATTTAGATCACCTGAGTTGGCAGAGAAGTTTTACTATGTTCTTAAGTTGTTCAGAACACTTTTCAGGCCTGAAGAAGAGTTCTGTGTAATTTGCAGTCCTGATCACATGGAGAGTTAGCCGTGCCCAGCCCATCTGAGTGAAACTGAGGAGCCTTGGCTCCATGTTTAATCAGTGTGCAGAAAGTTGCAAGTTCAGTCCCCAGATAGCTCTAGTTAAAGGATCTCAGGAAGCAGGTGTTGGGGTCTTTCTTTGTCCGAGACCCTGGAGAGCTGCTGTTGGCATAGCTACTTACAGAACTGTGTCCTGATCCTCAGGGTGACATACACCGTTCTTTCCTTATAGCCACACACAAAATTTTATGCTCACTACCCTGTGGGGTAGGTTAAACAGGAAGAGAATGACTTGGCCTGAAGTCACCCATGGTCCAGTAGTGTTCAACCTTCTTGAGGCCTGGACTTGCCTTTAAGCCCAGCCCACCACGTGGGACCTACTTTTAATCATTCCTCTGCTTCCCCCTACACCATGCACTTTTCTCCTTACTACCTTCCTTTCCCTCCATTTTTCCGTTCTCATTCTCTCCTCTCTCCAAACATGTATTTAAAAATAAATAAAAGCAGGGTGCAGCCCATCAGGTTGAAGATCGGTATGTTTATTTTAAAACATGTCTATCCTGCTCTTTAGGAGCTGCAGTGGCTCAAGTGGTTAAGACGCTGAACTGCAGGCTGTGGAAGGTCAGTAGTTCAGCAGTTCGAGACCTGAGTGTGCCGCATGACGGAGTGAGCTCCTGTCTCTAGTTCCAGCTCCTGCCAACCTAGCAGTTCGAAAGCAAGAAATTGCAAGTAGATAAATAGGTACCACTTCGGTGGGAAGGTCACAGCGTTCCGTGCGCCTCGGTGTTTAGTCATGCCGGCCACATGACCACGGAAACGTCTTCGGACAGCGCTGGCTCTTCGGCTTTGAAACGGAGATGAGCAACCCTAGAGTCGGACTCGACTGGCTTTCGAGCAGGGGAACCTTTACCTTTACCTATCCTGCTCTTTAGAAGTTCAGATCAACTGAACAATGACACAAACGTTGCATAGAATTTTTATTTGCAAACAATAACTTCTCTCTCCAACACGTGGTGTCACAGATGTATCCTCTGTCAACATCTTGACTTTTCTAGAAGTCAGAAGTGTCAGGAGCTGCTGGAATTCTTTTGGCATCTCATGCAATGACGCTACACTGCTCTCCTGGATATGGGTGATTAAAGACTCATTGCCCTGGCACACTTAGTCCAGTAAAAGGTGCTGTTAAAAATCCATAACTTCCATGTTACTTCAGTGGTGCAGGAAAAAGTGGTCCTGTAGGCAGCTCCCCCACTGCTCTGGTTACGTGAGCCCTCCAAAACCACTGTACTGTGGAGGTACAGCAGTTTTGGTTGGCTGAATTGCAGTAGCGTTTTTACTGGGTTGTCTCTTTCTGTGCCGGCTGCTGTTCATGAGCGCCTAGATATGGCCGGTACAGTGATGGTCCGCTTCCTGTTGCTGTTCCAGTTTTATTAGCTGTGGTTTCCGTTGCAAGGTAAAAATCAAAATTTTGGATTTAAAAGACCTTTGGAGATAGTTCCTCCCCTTGCCTTTTCCAGGACCTTAAACGGACTTGGCATCTTAGTGTGTTCCATGGATGGATCAGTGGCATTTCTGGATTTTTCCCAGGACGAACTTGGTGATCCCCTGAGCGAGGAGGAAAAGGTACCTTGCGTTCTTTTGCATGGACTTGCTAATTTGTCTGCTTAACCAGATCTTTTAAAACTTGTTTTGGAGGCCACATTGCCAGTTCTAAGATATGTTTTGGGTCACACCTGAGAATGGGAGTGGTGGTGGTGGTGCTGCAGCATCACTCTAATCAGACATGCGTATTTATAACGGCACTCACAAACCTATGTTGTGGTTTTCATGTTTGTGTGATGCGTAACGGTCCCTCTTTTCATCTGGATGCCCATTGAGGCAGGGAAGGGCAGCAGCAAGACGGGCTCCGGCTCCTGCCTTCATGCTCTCTGGGCAGGTTTCCCAGAGGTATCTGGTTAACCATTGTGGGAACAAGGATGCCGGACTAGATGGACCGAGGAGCCAGATCTTGCCTGGCTGCAAGTGGAAAGTAAGGGGCGTTCCTGGTTTTGCGTTTCTTTCCCCCTAGACTCTAGCGGCTGGTCTCCCTTAAGAACCCTATATCTAGTGAACAGGGCAGAGCAATGGGATTGGGGCCAGACGAAAAGTAAGATGGAGCCAAGTTAATTTGGAACAATGGGGCTGGAAGGCTTTCTGTGGAAATTTGGAGGCCTGCCTGACGTCCTCCACCCTTGTCCTTGGCCAGTCGGTCCAGGAAAGATTACTAGAAACTCGTATTCACTGTTCTTTGTCATAATGAGGGAATAGTCCTCCCTGCATTTCATGACTGGAGAGACTTCCACATTTGCCACCAAATTAAGGAATCCCTTACAAGGTAAAGTATCTTGCCTAGATCAGAAGATGCAGCCCGGCACCAGGACTGGGTTTGTGTTTAAAATAGTTTAGACATGATTTTTCTCATAAACATGAATCATTTAGGCATGGTTTTTCTCATTTTTATAAACTCTTACAAGTGTGCTTTTGTCTTTGAAACTTGCTTAACTGTGAGTTACCGTCACAGATGTACGGTCGTTATTTAGGTGTCATTTGTATTTGGGCACTCAGTGAAATACCCTCCCCTTTTTCAATCAAAAAACCGGCTGGAACTTGCCTGGTCTCTCAGGCTTTCCCAGACTAGTCCTCTGCTTCCCAGTTCTCTGCCATCTTTAGAATGTAAACTATGGTCTGTCTGAAGGTTTTTTAAAAATTATTTCTGTATGGCACATAAGTAATATGTAGAATTTTAATCATTATGATCATTCACAATGTTGACACAGTCTTGAAGAAAATGTTATGTTGGTCTTCTTGAAGCTTGTACATCACCTGTGACTTTCTTGTGTCATTGGTCTGTGTGCCTTTTCTTTATCACTAGTCAAGGTTGTTCACACATTTCTTTGTGTCCGCCCTTTTTGTGCTCCGTAGAGCAACATCCATCAGTCCACCTATGGGAAAAGCTTGGCTATCATGACTGAGGCGCATCTGTCCACCACTATAATTGAGAATCCAGAGATGCTGAAATATCAGCAAAGGCAACAGCAGGGAGAGCAGAAGAACAACACTAGAAGGGACGCAGCGGGCTCGACAATGGCAGCCCCTAAAGTGGCGAGCATGGTGAATGGGGAGAGCTTGGAGGACATCAGGAAAGTACGTATCTTCGGAGGGCGATCCTCTTTGTCCAAGTGCAAATCTTTGCAGAATAACTTACCATCATCAGTCACATTTGGTTATCCTAAGTTTGCACCCTGAACATGCAAAGCAGCCTTATACCTGGTCAGATCCTTGGCTAGGGCCTCCAGGTCTCCTGCTGTGATGGGAGACCACCCAGCAGCAGCACTTGATCCTTCCTGCTGCGGGGTTGGGCAGTGGGAGGTAAAATTAAGCCAAAAGTCACCATTGGCACTATGCAATAGGATTCACTGGAATCTCTGGTTTTACCGTAGAGTTCTTTGATGAATCCTAGAGCGTCATACCAATGGCATGACATCACATGTGGGTTCGCCCCAGAAGTGATGTCACACTGTTGATATGCTCGTACTCCCTTGTGTCCCCACACCCAGTCTCCCACCAGGTGCTAGCCACCATCTGTCATCCCTACGGTTGACCCATTTAGAGTTCAGTATTGTTTGGTTGTGACTTTCCTGAATCTCAGGGGGAGAGAGGGTTTTCCCCCAAGTAGAGATGCCAGGGCTCTTCTGTATGCAAAGCAGGTGGTCCACCACTGAGCCGCAGCCCCTCCCACACTATTTCACACATGGCCCTTTTTTAATATAAAGAGGTTGACATACAAAATTAAAGTGTGCTAAGTCAGGATATGGCCCTTTGGCATGGTATGTCTACTTGGTGTAATCCCATCATAGCCAAAAAACTAGAGCTCGTAATTTTGTTTAAAATAGCTGCATAAATGTTCCTTTCGGAAACGGTATTTAGAAGCTGCTTTGATGTCTTGTTAGAAAGATCCCATTTTGTTACGCTCCGTTCAAAATGATTAAGGTGACAATATTCCACTCAGAGATTGTTGTTTTCCATGTTAGAAGCCTGTGCTTCCGGAAGTGCCATTTTAGAACGGTTTTCCAATCTAAAAGATGCTTACTTTGCAGGGTTATTCAGCTTGCTGTATCTTTATAGACGTTTTGTACCAATAAGTATATTAAAGTCCCAATAAAGACCTTTCTTTCGACAGAATCTTCTAAAGAAGCAAGTTGAGACCCGAACAGCAGATGGCCGGAGAAGGATCACACCTCTCTGCATAGCTCAACTGGATACTGGGTATATTGCTGAATATAATGCTGTTTTGTGTGTGTGAGAGAGAATGTTTGTGTGAGTGAGGCCTCTTTTTTGTGAATCTCAGCATTTCTTTCTTTTAAAGAAAATCACGTGCTGACATAATGCAGCCTTACAAATTTTGATCACAAAAGATGCAAACTTCCTTTCTGCACATATCTGTTAGTGGTAAATGAATGCCCCCCCCCCAGCTCTTTTACAGTTTGCAAAGGCTGTTTACCTGGAGGCAGTTTTCCTTACCGCAATTGACCATTCCAGTGGTTATTTACAAGCATTATGGTTTTCTCTGGTAGCCATTTTATATATGGATGCAAGCAGGTGGTTTAATGGCTCTGGGCTAGCCTGATTTCATCAGATCTCAGAATCTAAGCAGGATCAGCCCTGGTTAGTACTTGGATGTGAGACCACCAAGGAAATCTCTTGCCTTGAAAGCCCTAGGGGGGGGTCGCCATAAATTGCCTGCGACTTGACAGCACTTTACAAACACATACACACGAACGCGCACACACGCTCACCAGAAGTCAGTGACCTAAACATTTGCCTGTGGTTGTGTAATGGATGCGGCCGCTTTATAGTGAGAATGCCAAGAGATCCTAGGATACCTTATGTTCAGCATGGTGGCAGTATTTTGTCAGCGGCCCTCCTGATCACTGGTATTTGCAGCAGGATATCCACCCAAAATGAAAGGTTAACAGTCTTGAAATTGGGACCCAAGCAGAGGGATATGTGAGGCTGGACAGAAAAGCCATTGCCATGCTGACAGTCTGTCCGTGACATATCAGAAGTAAAGCAAGACCTCTTTTTTTGTTTCGCAACTCATTAGATTGGGTGTATAGGACAGCATTGGGGACAGGGTCCCCATATTACAGTTCGTTTGGGGCTCAGAGTAATGATGTACTGTTGCATTGTTGACATACATAAGATGTTGCACTGGTTCCAAACTTGGTATCTTTCTCCTGCTTGTTTTTTTTTGGTTGGCACACAAAATCTTTAGATTTGGTGAGAATTCCATACAAGGTGCCGGATAGAAAAATGCATATTAGAATTATCAAAAAAACTGGTGAGCATGCTCTAGTTTTGAGCTTTCTGTAAGAAGATACCCGTTAATCGGCAGCAGAAGTGATAACCACAGTAGTGTCCTAGTTGGAATATGCAATTCATTTTTAAAAAATCAAAATTCAATTAATAAGAATAAAATATTTTGGATCAATTGATTTTGTTGCTCCCCCCCAGTGTCTGCACCTTTGATCATGTAAGTAGGAATACCATCTCAAAAGTACCTTGACTGATCTTGTGTACCCTTTTTTTGTTTTGAACAGTGATTTTTCAACAGCTTTCTTCAATAGTATTCCAATATCTGGATCCTTAGCTAGCACGATGATGTCTACTTCTCAAACCAATCAGCTGATGTCGTTAGATTACAATGCAACCAATTCCCTTGGCACTTCTAAACCTACCTTAGAGCTGGTGGCAGTCAGTGTTAAACCTGCAGAAGATGGAGTCAACAAGGATGGGTCAGTATTGGCAAGAGTGTCTTCCTCTTACTTTCCTGGCTGAGGCCTTCTCTGCCCACCTGTGCACACTGATCATTCTCCTTGCAAGTTAAAGTGGTGTGGTTCACACATGCAGAAGCAGCATCACAGAGAGAACTTGCGAATCACTTTGAATGTGCTACTTTTCAGCAAAGTCGCCTTCACACATTTCTTCTGCTGCTGTTCACGCTATTGTATAACGAACCAGTGAGAGGTTTTTGATATATTCTTTATTTTTGTTTATAAAATATTTCCAGCTTTTCTTTTCCAGAATAGTTTTCAGTGTCAGTTTTTAAAAATAAAAATTTTAAATGCCTCAGATACACAGCAATGGCAAAATGAAAGGATCGAGCAGCATAGCGACAGGATTTTAATGCCATTATCAAGAATACATAGTAAATAAATCAGAGTCTCCAGCCTTTTTGGTCTTATCTCTGTAGTCCCAGTCCCCCCCCCCCCCCCCCCAACTTTTCAGGAGGGTATTTTTAGAAAGGAAATAGGGCTACATTGTGACTGAATGATACAGGAAGATGCTTCAGTGGAAGGAATGTGACTATTTACTACTGGTATTATCCGTTGCTGTATATTTTTATCTTGCTCTCACTGCATAATGTTTCTGCTTGTGTGATACCATTTCTTATATTGTTTTACATATTGTGTTTAATACTTTTGCCTTGTTTCATATTTCTGCAGGCCTAGTCCCATTACATTGGTTATTAGATGTCTCCTCATACTACTGGTTGCTCTTAATTACTCTGTGTAATCTGCCCTGAGTCTTAGAAAGGAACACCTCTAGCAATATAAATAAGTAAAATTTAAGGGAAGGTAGCAGGCACCCCCACAAAATGGCTGCTACAGGGGCTGCAGCCAATTACAAAATGTTGAGGAAGTTCCAAGCCTGTGACTGAGGAGGCTATTAATAGTCATTCGAATACCCACAAGGCTTAAGGCAGAACAAACTGCTTGGAAGAGAAAGTCCCTTAATTTCAGTGCTGTTTGTGAAGAAGGTTGAGTGTTGTGTGAATGGGCTCATCTTTGACTTGTGAACAAGCAATATGCACAGCTTCACAAGAAACCATTGTGCTCTTCTGTTTGTGGAGTTGCAGTGTGGTACTGTGAGCTGCATTTGTACAACCAAAAAGCAAATGGAAACCCTGTGCAGGATTTATCCAGAAAGGCTTGCCTTGGTTCTATGGTGATGGTTTCTGGCAATCTTAGCACTATGTGCAAAGGGAAGATGGGAGCAGGGAAACCCCATTGACCTTGAGGCTCTTGTCACAAACAAATTCATGTCAGACAGACAAACCTCAGTATAGCTAATGAACCTACTTGGTCCTGTAGCTAGAGGCTCCGACAGCCAAAAGCACCGCCCCTGTGTTCGGGGGCATTAAGTCACTCATTGGCAGATGATCAGGACAAAAACAGGGGTGAATGTTGCCATTGTTGTTTATAACCCTCCTTTGAAACGTTCAGCAAGCTTACAAAAGCTTTTCCAATGATCTGTTAAGAACAAACAAACTTGTTTTCTCTTCCTTTTGACAGTGTAAACGCTACCTCTGCTTCAGCTGCTCCCCCTGCCTCGTCGCCCTCTGTGCTGAGCACCCCTTCCAAGATAGAACCAATGAAAGCATTTGATTCCAGATTTACCGAGCGGTCCAAAGCCACCTCAGGGACTTCTGCCATCGTGCACACAAATCAGATTGCCATAGACAGGTGAGGAATAAGCACGCAAAGAGTGAAACCAGGAGTTAACACGGCAGCAGCGAGCTAAACAAGGACTTGTGCATTCCCAATGGGATGCTCCAGCTTGGTGAAAAAAGGGCTCTCCATCCCCATATATCACCTTCCGAACTTGTAGTTTGTCATTGGGGACGGTGGCGGCTGTTCAGAAATGCCGGTCCCGATCTTTCTTTGGTGCACAGATCTTTGTTTCTAGAAAGTCCTTGAGCCCTAATGGGCTTCCTTCATATCCTTACACACCCAAGGAATCTTGCTGTTGCGTGTAAACTGGAGTGAGGTGGGATATTCAACTTAGTAATGGCCTGTGTTCTCCACTTATGGCAAAGGTGGCGTAGGAGAATCCACAAGAATGTGTAGGCTGGGATGTGGGCATCTCGTCTTGGGGCAGAGTGTTGGATGGGGGATTTTGACCCCTTTACCATACCTGTTGTATGCCAGTGAAGAGACGCCTCAGGGGATTCTGCCTCACTGCAAAGCTGCTGGAGCATTTCCTGCCCATTGCTGGGATGTGTCTGCAGCAAGCGCTGGGTGCACTGAAGGGCAGCCACTGGCTCAAAAGCTGTGCCTCTGTTGGCTTTGGCGGGACCAGTTCTGAACAAGCCCACGGGAAGCTGCATTACCCAGGTCAACCACAGCATCGGCGATGCCGTTTCTGAGCTGGCAGGCGCCCTTTGTGCAAAAGGCAAGGATGCCCTAGGGACCTTATCCCCCGCCCCCCCGCCGCCGCCGCCTTTGGGACACCCTTTCCTTTGCTCTGGAAAAGCAAAGTGACTCCACCCTGGCAGATGCTCGGTCTTCCCATGCTGCTCTGGAAAAGAACCAGAATCCTTGTTGGACCAGATTGGAGTAGATGTCAGGTCCTGCAGCAGCTTACGCAAGGGAGGAGGGTGCAGTTCACCAAGTCAAAGAAACTGGCCATTGCTCAGATAAGCAGTGGTTCTTCATTCCTGGATGTTCTGCATTATGGACAGCACTGAGTTCTGGTTTACCATTTTAATCAGTCGGTCGCTCTCAGCTTTGTGTAGATGGTTCAAGCTGAACACAAAAAGAGCCTCCATCCCTCCCCCATCAAAGGCCATGGCCGATGCAGGGCCTCTCAGAGGTCGGGAGAGGCAGGGCCCCACTTCCATTTTTTTGAGGGGGGGAGGGGGGAGCCACTCCAAGCCAGGTACAACTGCCAGACCATCTTCCTCTGCTACCGTCGACCTGGCACAGCTCCCAGCCTTGCCACCACTGATAGAGGATATTAATTCGTGTGCTCTACAGGCAATGTGTTCCGGTAATGGGATGCAAGTTTTAAAGTTGTGCAATGAACATCTCCTCCTTTCAATCCTGTCAGTGTGTCTCTGCGACTGTATGTAGAACCTCATTTGGAAAGAATATCAAAAGTCTAAATCGGAGGCCCTCTGTGAATGTGAGGCCCGGGCCCAGTGGCCCTCCTGGCATCATTTCTGATAGTTCCTGCCCTGATGCTTAGCAAGAAGCACACTGTGGACTTCTTCGGGTAGTGCTGGGAAGCTGTAGGAACCCGTGCAACTAATCTTTTATGTCTTATGCAGGTTAAAAGAGCAGAACTCAATTAGGGACAGCAAACCCCGGGATCTCCTGGAGAGCAGCAGCGATAGCGAGGAGAAGATCCCAGCTAAGCCTCACTCTCACTCGTTATCCAAGCGTAAACTGGAGCTTGAGATTGAAACCGTAGAAAAGAAGAAAAAAGGCAGGCCTCGAAAGGACTCCAGGCTGATGGCCGTCCCTCTCACCGTTCAGGTAACCCAGACGTTGCTTCTCTTCTTTTCACAATTGGGGGCTTTGGCTCAGGAAAAGAGCCTCTGCTTGGCATGCAGAAGGTCCCAGGATCAGTCCCCAGTGTCTCCAGTTAAAAGGAGCAGGAAGTATGTGAGAGACCTCTGCCAGAGATCCTGCGAAAGCCGCTGCCACTCTGAGTGAGCAGTTGTGACTCTGATGGACCCGTGTTTTGATTCAGAAGGCAGCTTCATGTGTTCATATGTAACTAATCCTGCAGTGGGGTGGAGGGAAAGCCATGGGGGAATCCAGGGATGTTACAGTGCTATCCTATGCAGAGTTACTCCAGTCTGCCATTGATTTCAGTAGGCTTAAACTGGAGTTAACTCTTCATAAGCAGTGCACCGTCTGTAAGGTTTCCCTGCTCCATTGGCTTCATTTTGTACCATTTTGAAGCACATGGGTAAGATTAGGCAGGGATATGAAGACTGTAGTCACTGGTAGACCACAGAACAATTTCCAGTAGACTCCCAAATGCCCTGTTGGTGCTGGGATTTTCGAAAAAGAGTGCCAGACCAAGTTGACCTAGGTATGATCCAGCAATGCTCTTCTTGTGTTCATAAGCAGTGCTGCAAATTCAGGATTGTTTTGATACAGTCGTTTATGCCTTTACTGTTAAGAGAGCCAATGCCCTCTTGTTTTGAACCACTTGGAACCCTGGGGCTTCTGATAAAATTAAATAAGCAGGCCTTAAGTTAGCTCATCCGTACCTTAGAGCAGGTACAAGTGTGGGGCCCACAAGGAATTGCTGGAGTAGAGGCATAGTTTGGAAATGCTGTTCCTCCAGAATTTCCTCCTCTGCAAGCTCTCCAGGGGCTTGAACAGGATAATTCTCACCTGTTCCCTTCTGTTTTAACTGTCAGATACTTTCAGGATTCCACACTGGCTAGATCACGTTCCGTTTTCGTCAGCATGTTTGGGGAGGGGGCTTCCCCCGCCCCTTGATCGTTTTATTAATTTGCAGTGTCATATTTTTCTGCATACCTGGGAAGTCTCCTGAGTATATATGAGCTCCTGTTTTGTCTGTGGGTGACCTGAAGCTGCTACTTCCATAATTGGCCTAGGAGCCAGCCACTTTACCTAGTGGCATGTGTAATGTGCATGTGTGGATCAATTTATCAAAGCCATTGGAATGTTTGTCTTCCAGTCCCCCGCGATCCTGGCTTCTGAGAAGGACGGCGCTTGCCACAGTGCCCCGCTAGCGCTTAAACTGCCAACCCCGATCCCCCAGAAATCGTTTACGTTACAAGTAAGTGGGCCTAACCTGATGGAACAGAGCTAGCCATTGGAATATTTGTCTTCCAGTCCCCCGCGATCCTGGCTTCTGAGAAGGACGGCGCTTGCCACAGTGCCCCGTTAACGCTTAAACTGCCAACCCCGATCCCCCAGAAATCGTTTACGTTACAAGTAAGTGGGCCTAACCTGATGGAACAGAGCAGTCTTGTGCTCACGTAATTACTTTTCCTCCCATTGCTGGTGTTTTTTGGGTTTTTTGCAGTTCTCGTTAAATGTATAGCTTACCATTTTAGACATTAAATGGCCTGAGTTTTAAATTAGTTCTCTTGTCTTGTCTGCCTCTCTTTCTCTCGTTTTTGCCACATTCTTGATCAGCTTTCATTCTATAAGACAACTGCCTTTTGCAGGTCAGCTCAGATCCTTCCATGTACATTGAAGTGGAGAATGACATTACGTCAGCGGGAGGTTCTAAACTGAGCAGGCTAAAGTGCAATCAAGAAGGCAAAGAGTGGGAAACGGTCCTCACCAGCCGGATTCTCTCAGCAGCGGGAAGCTGGTAAGTGCATTTGTTGGTGTTAGCCAAAGGTTGAACTAGAATGCTTTCAGGCCAGAACCATTCAGTTGGTAATGTGTGTTTGTATAGAACAGGGTTCCACAACATCATTGAGCTTTGGGCACTTGTGGAATTTTCAGAACATTGAGTGGATGCCCCACCAAATGGCTGCCATTCGGAGCATGGGTAACTGCAAAATGGCTGCAATGGGGGTCTGTGTTCAATATTGCGAGATTCCAAGACATTGTTTCTTCCTGTGATGAAGATTTATTTTTATTTGCTTGACAAAATGTATACCCCTTTGT